CTGCTGGCAGATGCGGCTCATCGCCGCTCCCGCAAGCTGTCGTCGTTCAAGGTAGCGTTTTCTCCATCCAAAGAGGTACATGGAGTCCACTCGAGAAAATCCACATTGTAATGAATGGAGGCTACCATTTCATTGGGTCAATTATGTTTGACTTTTACCTGTTAAACTTATATATGACCATAGCAGGAGGCAGAATTCTGATTTCTTGGTCTTACTTTTGGGTAATGCTTTAGGATATAGAAGGATACTGCGTATTTTTAAAGTTTTCGATGTCTCTGTGTTTGAGGAAACACGATCATTTTAAAGGCACTGGATGGATTTAAAAAGAGAAACAGGTCGCCAAGCATGGTGGCACACGCCTGTGACCCTGCACGGGGAGGCTGAGGCAGGAAGGTCACCGTGAGTTCCAGGCCAGCCTGAGCTACATAGGAAGACCCCAGAGAGGAGGAAAAGGAAGAGAAGGAGGAGGAGGAGGAATAGCAGGAGGGGAGAGAGAGAGAGAGAGAGAGAGAGAGAGAGAGAGAGAGAGAGAGAGACTGAGACTGAGTAGGAGTAATGTTTGTAAACATCAAAGGAGGGAGCTCCGTGAGTATAACATAGAGGCACAGAGGGAGGGGAACAAGGGAGAGGGGATGGGAAAAGGAAGAAGAGAAGTTTTAAAAACGAGAAAAGAAGGAAAACATGGACACAAAGCTTTTGTAAATGAGGAGGGGTTGAAAGGAGGGAAGGGGAACAGGGGGAAAATCAAGTTATATCACATACAGATAGAAATTCTCTGTGATGAATGGGATTATAGCCATGCACCACTACACCTGACTTCAAGAGTCTATTGAAAGAAGCAATCCAAAAGGTGAAAAAGTAGTATGTGTGGATCATATTCTTCATAAGATTGCTTAATGTTCAACGATAGAAGTGCTGTTATGGCTCATTTATAATGACAGAAAAAAGACAGAATGTCTTACTTCTCTTGTTGCTGTGACCAAACACCTGACACCCAAAGTTAAAGGAGGAAGGTTTATCACAGCTCCCGATTTGTGGAGGTTTCAGTCTGTATTCAGCGGGCTCTAGGGTAGGGTGGCACAGCAGATAGGCATGGCAGAGCGAGCAGGTGCCACCAGAAGACAAGCAGCAGCAACAGAAGCAGCAGTAGCCCGCGATGGCAGCAGGCCTCCTCCTAACACGTTCTATCCCGGCTGCCCGCCGGTATGTACATAGCCCTGACACCAGGGCGGGGCATGTTAATCCCAGCATCACACCCTGAGTCACACACCACAGATCCGGCCACCCCTGAGAAGCCCCACCAATATAACCACATGAGGCTTCGGTGGAGGGGACATTTAGATATAAGCCGTAGGACAGATTTTAACCTGTAGTAGTATGAAACAATGATACCCTAAAAGAGTAATGGCAAACCATTGGCACATGTGCTGCAGCCAACTGTTTACTATCATTGAAAGCTCTAAAACGTTTGCCATCACTGGCCTAGAAGGTGTAAAATAGTTATACCTATATGATATCAAATAAAGCTGGAAAAGGAGGCCAAAGATAATATAGCGGAGTTAGAGAGGTGGTATTAGAGTCTAGTACAGTTACGATGCTGTATATACTAATATTTTTGACTAATTACAAAATGAATACAGGAATGTTTTCTTGTACATTTAAATATCTCACAGACATATGACAAATAATATCATAAGCATATGGCATTTTGAAAATGATCTCCTTTGGGTTTTTTTGGTACCGGGGATTGAACTCACGACCTCATACTTGCAAGGTAGGCATTTATGCCACTAAACCCCTGGCCCTCTCCCTTATATTTTTATCTTGGTGTACCATTTGATGAATTTAGGCTTCTTTTTATGCACTGGCTACCTTTTAGTTCCTTAGAAAATTTCTTATACATATTTCATGTGATTTTTCACTTTCATTGTTTAAATTTTTACTTATCTATAGGAGTGCTTTATGAATTTTATATTTTTATTAATTTAATTAAATTTAAAGATTGATACAGCATGAAGTGTTTCCATCCAGGAACATACTATGCCAGTCTCGGTGAGCCTTTTAGAGCTTTTGGTATTAACAAACAGCCTGCCACAGGTTCACCACCATGGTGTGTGTTTTCCCATCGCCTTGGCAAAAGTATTTTATTTGTAGCTTATGCATTTCTTGCTCTAATTTATATTATGCAACAAAGACATTTCTAATGTTTATTGACATAAATGCAATAATTTTCTATTTAAAATTACCAGGTACAGTTGGAATCTAAGCAGTTTTCTCAAAGACAAATAATAACACAGAAGTGCACTAGTGTTAGTCTATTTGCTTATATACAAAGAAGATCAATAGACTGATTTAATTTCTTCTAATATGTCAAGACCAAGTTTTAAATGCCAGAGAACAATAGCAGCAAAGAAAAGAAGGGGGAGGATCTTACAGAGAGGAGAAGTAAACTTTGTTTTCCTCTACTTGGGTGGCTACCAATTCACTGGCAGTGGGCAGTGGTTTATCTTATTTGTAATACGTCTGTGTTATTTAAATGTATTTCAACAAGAAAGCATTCCCATATTCATTATGTAGTTGGTCAAGAACACCAACACGTCCATCACTTGGTACTAGATTCTAACCCGGCCTCAAACTCATGGGAGAGTGCTGCTCATCCTGCTCACCTGCCCCACTCAGGTATTCCCGCACCAACGCTCGCTGTACCCATGATTTTGTTTAGTTTTTTAGCACGTTCTGAAGGCGACGAGTCCTCTTCTGGTTTCAAACCTTCAAGGCAGTTCTTATATAATTTAGAAGCTTAAGGTAAATTGATCATGCTCCATCTTGTTTTTGAAAATTGTAAGAGAGACATTATTACTGTATCAACAGCTTTCCATGTGTGGATGAATCTGGATGAGAGATTGGAGAGGAAGTGTTGTGGCCAGGCTGAAAGAGTGGGGATGGGCAGTGAGGACCCGGTGGACATGTCCACATGCCAACCTAGCACAGGGTGAACGCACACGGTACGGCAGAGAACACATGAAAAACTGCAATAATTTTCACTGGTGACGAGCTGCCCCAGTCCTAACACCCCAGGCCACCAATGCCAGCTCCACCAATGTCAGCCCATCCTTGCCTCCCTTCTCCCTGGCTTCCTGCTTACCTTGGCACTCTGTAAGGCATTTTTGATGTCTACTTTTCGAGGCTCATTGATTTGCAATCAAGGCTGATTACTTTGGGGTAAACATGGTGTTAGTTGTTTTCCTTGATGTTACAGATCCTTTTTCCTGTCAAGAGAACACCTGTGGCTGTCCAAGGTAGGTCCTTCCCTCCCTCCTCTTCCCCCAGTGCTCTTTATTTAAAACATTGTGCTCTCTTCTGCCCACAGTGCTATCTTTGTCTTAACTAAGGTGTCTCTGTGCATCTGGGTTTGTTTTTGTATTTACCATTCTTTTACCTGTGTCTATTTGTCTCTTTGCACAAGGGATATATTTTCTTTCCTTTTTTTTTTTTCTTTTCTTTTAACTTTTTATATCTTATGCTCAGTGGTCATTTTTCCTCTTAAATTTAACATTTTTTAAAACTAGAATAGTCAATAACCTTTATCATGTACTACACTGCATTATTAGTTTCCTCTTAAATTTGTGAGTGGTGTGGAAATATTTACCAAATGCCTTCTGCACATGTATTGAGATAATCCTATAATGTCTCTAGTCAGTGAATGGGGTTAAATATGTTCTCTGATTTTCACTTGTTGAACAAACCTTGAATTCTGGGTAATTTATAAAGAGAAAAGTGTTTATTGACTCCAGGTCCTAGAAGGCCAAAAGCACCAGGCTGGTATCTGCTTGGCATTGGCAAAGCCCTCCTGCTTGGTTAGGAATGGCCCAGCATGGCAAGGACACCAGGTGAGGAGGTAAGCAGAGGTGCCAGACGGAGCAGCCTCTGTAACAGAGCCACTGTTATCGTGACCTGTTAATACATGGACCCCTGAACCTCTGGCTACGTGGGTTCCCCTAACAGCCACCGTGGGGATTCTATTGCAGTGTGAATTTTGGTGGGGACACTGACATCACAACAGCCTGAAATATGTTTTCCAAAATATCCTTTTTTGTGTGTAACCTTTCTCTTCCTACTGGCTCCTTTCAGATCAACAGAATCATCGCCCTTTCCCTGTTATCTTTGTGGTTACCCTGGAAGACGGCATGCGTTCTCACCAACGCTATGTCAGCTGTCCAGTCATTGCTTCTCACCTCCGAAGCCACTTTATTACATGAGCCTGAATCTTTCTCCTTGCCAGCTGGGCCAGAGGTACCAGAGGTATCCCAGGCATCCCTCGGGTACCCTCTATGAATGTAAAGGGTACCCGAGGGATGCCAAACAAAGGAGGCATTTCTCCTCCTGACCAGTATAATATCATCTGCCTGCTGTGCTCCAGAAGCACAGGATTCCTCCAGAGCTGGCTCCTGAACTGTGAGCTGAGCAGCAGCAGGCAGCAGCTGGCAGCTTCCCTGGTGCTCTCTTGCGTGACTTCACCCCAAAATAGTGCGCCCACAAGGCATCTCCCAGTGAATAGCTTTCCCAGCAGCTCCAGTGTGGCTTTGAACAATGGAATTGGCAGAAACCTATGAAGCAAAATCAGCTCTTCATAGCAAGATTACCTTTCTGGGTTCCTTCCTCTCCCAACCTTGGCAGCAGTGGGTGGGGACAGGAATTGGCCAGACCCTCGCTGTATTTTGAAGGTAGAGAGGACAGAATGTGCCAAGCGAGGGATTGGAGCGCAAAGCTGAAAGGGTGATTTGAGTCATGGAAGGGAGAAAGCAGATCTGAGAGGAGGGAGCAGGTGGGTATTGTGGGGTACACAGGAGGAAGTGGAAAAAGAAGGCAAACAAGGACCCCTGGGTGCAAGGGCTGAGGTCCCCTGAAGCCAAGGAATGGCTGGAGTCCAACATTAGCAGGAGAGGATGCAAGATTAGCATGAGAGCAGACGAGGCTGCTGGAGAGAAAACAAACTCATATTTTAAAATAATCTTTTATTCACAGATCATATACATTTGAAAATATGCTCTATTGATAATACTTCACATTCTTGAAATTGAATAACTTACAGTATAGTATAAATCATAAAATATAATTCTTCCATTACAAGAATTTTTATTTGCCTAATGCATGAGGTAAGCCAGGTAATCAAATGTTATTGGTATTGATGTTAATGAGAAGACAATCAGCTTTTCAATGACCCAGTATGACACTAGAGATTTAACAGGACAGATTGTACCAGCAGATTCTTATATCTTCAGAATTAAAGAGGTAGGTTGTATAATCAGAAAACAGACACGGTAAGTGCTAATCAGTAGTGTATTTAGAACACTTACATGGAAATCAGAAACCTAGTTGACAATCATGTTTTCTTAAGAATGAAATTGTATGTCTTATATGAATATGAATATCATATGAGCATCATAAACTACAGAGAAAAAGGAGGCAAATTAGTTGCCTACTTCAACCATTGAAATAATGGGTTTTTTTCCCCTAAGATTTCAGAAAAGGGGTTTCCCTTTTTTTCAAGATACAGATCTTTAATTTTCTATTGGTTGCATAATCTGTAAAACCCATTTAATTAATTAGTGTTCACATCTTTTATTAACCAAAGAGCTACCTATTATAATGAATAAGCTGTGTTGAATGACAAGTTTTATAACTGAGTCAAAAGCCTTTCAGGCCTGGTAAAATGTGGCCTCAGAGCAGCCTCTGCAGCCTCATTTTGATAAACATGATTTCAGCAAAGCTTTCTGAAAAGCTGGAAACAGTCCAGGAACCTTTCTTACTTATTTTCACGAACCCTATGTGTGGAATGAATTCATTAGGTAGAACCAAAGATCTGTTTTTGCCTTCCTCCTGATTTTCCCTTCTTCCTGTTTCATCCTTCTGTTTCCCATTGCCCCACTGCTCTCCTCCGTTTCCCTTCTAACCCATCATCTGTTCCCTTTCCTCTTTGCTTTTATTTTCATCCTAGTCGTGGAAGCTTTTTCTTTCCTGGTTTTTTCTCCTTTTGTTATGCTGCAATTTCCATAATGAGCTTGTTCTTATTGGTTTCATTAATTCTTTTTGCAGAGAACTTTGTGTTGAATAGTTTTTGTATTTGTGTGTGTGTGTGTATGTGTGTCCTGGGGCTGGAACCCAGGGCTGTGCATATGCTAAGCACATGCTCTACCCCTAAGCTACCTGCCCAGCCCTAGTAAAATGCCTTGCAATGTGATATGTCATTACCCATGACTTGAGATGTGTGAACATCTCACTTAGGCACCATGTTGTGTCCCCCCCCGTGATGTCATAAAGCAGTGTCTTTGGTATAAAGTTCTTGTATTGGAATGAAGCACCAGTAAATTCTTGAATGTTCCATGTTGTCTGTATCCCTGTGAAAGAAATGACTGATGAGTAAGAGCATGGGTCTCCTTTTAGTCCTTTTCATTTCTTACTTTTTTGGGGCACATTTTTCTATTGTCTATTTCAAGCTATATAGATGCTCTAAGGGACGGGAGAATTGAGCTGGACTATGATGCTGATTTCTTGCCAAGTCACCGCTGGCCATCCGTGGGTCACATGGTGTCTGCTCAGTTCATGAGGTCACCAAGGTTAGCATCTGTCTGCTTACCACATGCCAGGTGTCCACACCTGTGACACCTGTGACCTGCCCAAGGTCACATGGTAGATGACAAAGCCAGAACTGTCACTCTAGAAGTCAGATCCAAGTGTGACATGCTGACTGCTATGCCTTGTTGCTCCCGTAATGAGGACACGCAGACCTCTGCTCTGCTATCCCACCACTTAGACACGGGCACCACCGCAAAGCCATCCTCTTTGGACTGCTCCATCACTGAGACCTTAAACTCTGTGCTCACCTGCTGCCTTTTAGCTTTCCTGCCTCCTCTTTTTACTGCTGCTGACCCTGCTTGGCAACTGGGCCTCTGCACAGTTCCCCCGCAGGCCCTGTCCTGGTGTCCCTTACTTCCCTGCCTTGCCAAGAAGCCATGCCTTGGCTTGGACTCACCTTGCATTTTCTCTCTTTTAACTTCACCCACCTGTTCGGTCTACAGTAAAGGAAACTCCCCTTTTTCAATTTACAAAATCTTTACTCCATCTTTAATCCACTCATCAGCCCCCGTCCCTTGCCCTCCTGTCCACTGTGCTCCTCCTGGTCGTCTCAGAACACCAAAGGCACTCTTCCCAACAGACTGTATAAGCACAGTGCTCACAATGGTGAGCCTTGTAATGCAGACATAGGTAAATTTCGTTAGCATTCCCTATGGCTCATTACCATAACCCAGAAGATTCAGCACACTGTGCCAGACTATAGCATGAAACAGGCAAGCCACACTGATCAAAGAAGACTGGAACTTGTTCCTTCATCCTTAAGTCGATATTATCAGTAAAATCATGGATATGCCAAGTACTTTGCTAAGGGCTAAGGATTCCTAGGATATAGTCTCTAAGAAACTCAGCATCTGCTGGGAGAGATCAATAATACCATGTTACTACAGTGGAGTGCAAAGAGATAGCCATTTGGGGAATGAATGAATGATATACAAATGCATGAGTCAAGGGATTTGCTCTTTGTATTGCTATTCTATAGTCCTTTAGATGCATGCATGTGAAACGGGTCTTATCATTCACTCAATAAACTACTTCTCAATCCCTGGGAAGAAGGAATGTCAAATCTGCTCTGCACCTAACAAGCTGCACCTAACAAGCTGAGTCATCAGTCCAGAAAATGAAAGTGGAAATGGGGAGGGGATGTTTTCCCATCTTACTGCTTTTAGTTTCTCTGTCTTTCATTTTGTTGCTGCTTTTCCTCCTGTGCTCAGGATCTCTTTCTGAACTCTCACTGGCAACTGGAATCATTTCTGTTTTGCTTGTGACCTGGCTGCATGCTCGCTTCAACCAGACCACAGATTCTGTGGACTCCAGAGTGGATGTACTCACTCTCTGTTTCAATCACTTGTTTTTAAATTTCAGTGGTCCTGTAATGTCCTTCCCCACCCCCAAATTGGGCTCCAGGACTGGTGTGGTCACAGGATGCACAGCGGGGTAACACCTAGACTCGTGACTCTTACCTGGGAGTCCCAGCGCTGCTCTAGCCACAGTGCACCAAGAATGACCTCCAGTTCGGGGGTGTTAAGGGGAGTTTTATTTGAAAATGATTCCAAAACCTGTGAGAGACACAAAACAGGGAAATGTGTTTTGGAAACCTCTATGCCTGTAATTTTCCGGGATCTTTTTGGTACCTGATGCTGAGCTCTCTCTGCAACAGTGTTTCTGAAAAGTTTTATCTGTTCACATAACTTAGCATTTTCAGGGTGCTGAACATAGTCCCTTAGAACATGATTTATCTGGTCTTGTTTTCATTGTAATAGGCAGCTCACTTACATGGAAATATTATAGGCAGTCAGACAGGGCTAGGCCCTCAGGGAGCCAGCACAGAGGATAAGATGTCTTGTGACCTTGAAGGAGACACATGCCTCCTGCTGTGGGCCAGCTCTCAAGACAAAAGGCAAAACAAATGCAATCACACTCTAAGTATAAACATCAGGGGTTGATATTCTGAATAGGTATGGATCATTTTGACCAAGCCAGGAGCCACCATCCCAACCCCCTACAGGAAGAAAGTCACTGCTCCATAAGAATGCCCACTTACTGTGTGACTTGCTTCTCCATTTGTCCTTCATTTGGTCAGTTTTATCTGAATAATTAATCTTATTGGTTGACCACAGTTCTGTCCCACCTCATGCCCATCTGCCTTGCAAGTTCCCAGTTTTCCCCATCTTGGACCTGCCTCACCTCATGGTTTGACTCTATAAAAGTCCCTAGAAAAGTCTCTGGCAACCTACTCAGGACCCTTTCTGTCTGTCTGTCTCTCTCTCTTTCTCTCTCATCTAAAAACTTCCATTCTTTCAAGAAATAGATTTTGCTCTTAACTTCCACTGCTCCTAAAATTCAATCTTCGATTTTAGGGAATACGAATTCGTACTGGACAACAATAGGTTGGGAGTTTCATACCTCTATATCAGTAGGTTGGGAATTTTGTTCCCCTGTGTCACTATCATGAGCCTAGCTTTAAGAAATTCTCATTGGGGGAAAAATCTAGATTTATATGCTGCACACAAAAGCATTAGGGCATGGCATTAATGACGAGGCAGGTAGACCTGTCCTCTCAGGGAAGGAAAGTGAACTGCTTCCTGAACGATGATGTGGGTGTCCTACATCTGGCAGCAACATCTCCAGCACCCAGGAGCTCATCCAAAGGAAATCTCTAAGAAAGTGTGCAAGAGACACCTACACGTCCATTTGCCCAATCATTAATTCAAGTACCAAAAAACTAGGAACAACTTAAGGCCAGCAAGATTGGTTAAGTGGAGCCTGAATATTGTTTATGGAATCAGGTAGGCAGACATTGAAAATGATATGAAAGATAGAATTTTGTGGGAGACTACTATGATAAACATCCAATACAAGAGTATGCACAGTATTACCAAATACACCAAAGTATACATTATCCTGTCTGGGTGATAAGATTACTTGTGGTTTTAACTTGTTTGTACTTTACAAATATTTTTTCAAAGTTTCTAGAGTGGATATTTATTACTTCTATGATTTAAAAAGTTTAGTAAATTCACTAATAGTATTTTAAGAGCAACAAAGATAAATAGGGCTGTGACTGCTTCTCAGGATTTATTAGGGATCCTCTTCGCTTCTAACTCTTATTCTCAAAGCCCAGTATAACAAGACAGTCTTCAGCAGCACTGATAATCCTAGAAGCTTCCAAGACGGATTACTTTCATAAAGAAATCTCCAAACAGTTGCCACATCCTTTTCCTTTTTCTTTCTTTTTTCAGAATAAGAATTAGGTATATGCTCAGCTAAAAAGGAACAAAACTTGAGATGTTTTTTGCTGTTGCGGTGTTCACAGTTGACCCATGTGTCCCAACCAAGAGATAGTAAAGAGAGATTGAGGAGTGAAGTCCATATTTGGATTATGCTTAAAATGTCTGAGATCAGGTTATAGAACATCTGTACTGGAACTGCATTAAAAAATGATAGCAATACCAATGCTGCCCCTCAATATTTTGATCTCCATTTTATTGAAAACAAATATAGGCAGAGACAGGCTGATGCCCGCAGCAGCAGGTCACCAGGAAAGGGTAAAGGGTGGGGCAGGAGTTACAGTCACCTCAGGGTGGGTGGAGGGTGTGACAGGAACTGACAGGGTATTCTGGGCAGGCTGGGTGGGGTTGTTTACTTCATATTTTATATGTTTTTTTGCATTCTTTTAAAACTTTTAAAGCCAAGGGTGGTAGTGCGTAGCACAGCAGAGGTTGAAGTAAGAGGATCACCGTGAGTTTGAGGCCAGCCTTGGCTACATAGTGAGACCCTGTCTTAAAACAAAACAAAGAAAACAACCCCCAAAACAAAGCAAAAAAACCCCCACCAAATCCAAACTTTTAAATATAATTCTAAAATATTCCAAAGGAAATAAATAAAAAGAGGAATTTTATAAATGCCTGTAATTGCAAGTTCAGGACAGATGCTAAACAGTGGGTTTTGCTAAGATATTTTCAATGGTTGGGATTTTAACTTTAAATACCTACACATGCAAGAAGATCTGTGGTAATAATGAGCAAAAAATGTTAACCACTCTCCCTTGAGGATTATTTTGCAAATATAAAAATGGAAATTGCCATCTCTGAGATTTCACTCTAAGTGTTCCAAAGAGGATTGTAAAGACTTTCACTGTTTGAAGCAAAAATTCAGTGGGTCATTCCTATGAAGCAGCTAGACCTCCAAAGGTATGTTCAGGGTTGAGCACAGGCAACTTGTGACATGGGAGACTATTGTAGTTCAGTGACCATGTCTTGGCTACATAAATGCCCTCCTCATTGTTAGCAAATACAACCTTTCCTTCCATATACGAAAGTCCTGGCACTTCCTATACCAAATACCACTTTGAAGCTATTAGTAACCCTTTAAAACCTTGTCCTTTCCTAACAAAGCTTACTTTTAAAAAAGCTAACAAAAGAGTGAAGCTCTAATGGGGGACTCCCAAGTATCTGTCAGGATTTGGAGATCCCTGCAGCAACCTCAGCAGTGGTCCAGGGAACGACAGATGTTCTCAGACTCACAGGTGATGGTATATGTCAGGATCTCGCTGGAGGCGCGTCTGGAATCCAATGTACAAGTCGTCCCAGAGCAGACCGTTCTTCACCACATACCTGATTACGTCAACCCGGCTACGAATCTGAAACAGACAGGGAGCAACTTTCAGGGTGTCCTGTGCTGAGCTGGGCTTGGGGAGCACTGGGGAGCACATAGCTTGGGCTGAGGAGAAGGTAGCCCCTGAGCTTAGCAGACATCAAGGGAAGGACAACAGAGTGGACAGGAGCCCTCAGGCACAGCTGAATGCAGAGTCTGGGGTCACGCGGCAGGTTCACACCCAGGTGTTCTCTGGGTGATTTTGGTAACCGTGCTGGGCCCCACTCAGTTTCTTCCTTTATAACAGGAAGATAATAAAAGCACAATCTGCACTGGATCACTATGTTAAGTGACTGAATGTGTATAAAGTACTTCAGAAGGGGCTTGGCACCCAGTGATGGTCAATAAATGTTTATGGCCATCACAGTTCCACAAGTGGGGACTGAACAGAGCCTGCAGTCTCATGGCAACCTGCATGTATCCAGCCTGCACCAAGGGAGCACCAGAAGTCAGGTGGTCCAGGCTGCATCCCTACAGAACCCCCACTGCACGGATCTCTGAGATGGTCAAGGGAGTGTGGGATTAGAGACCTGCAAAGGAGGGCTTCATCTCAACTGCATGCTAATTGACTAAGCATGAGGCCTTGTACTTATCACGCCCTGCTTTCTCTGTTTTGGAGCTGTTGTGAGTTGGGAAGAATTTAAAAAGCACGAAGAGATCTTGTACATCCTAAGGTTAGGTGTGGATTTAACAACCTACCAGTGGCCGTGTTCAGGAATTTTCTTAATACCTGCTTCAGATTCTTTCCTGGTAAACACCACACTAATGGCAGAAAAAGGCAAACTTTCAGAAATGGCAGGCATTTGTTCAAAGACACACAATGATTAGAAAACAGGTCTTGGATTTCTCTCCCTTCCTATAAGACAAACATAGCTATTGTGAACCAACGGTACAGTTTAGGTCAGAAGATGGGTACTTTCACTGATGCTCGAAACACGATTCCCTGTTTGGGAGGCTGAGGGTGAGGTCTGCCTGCTGGGATGCAGTATCTGGATAACCTCCTTCTCACTCTGTGTGTGTGTGGGGGGGTGTGTGCATGCACATATGCAGGGGCCTTTCTTGACTTCTAATCTAGAAAGTAACACAAGAGCCTTGGAGATAGAGTCACAAAATGTTTGAGGTGTCAAAGGAGGTCTTGTTGGCTCATTAGATCTGAAAATTTTGGGAAAGGGAGTAGAAGACTGCATTCTTGTTTCTGGCTTGGCTGACTTGGGGTATGATGCTGCCACCAATCAAACAGGAAAGGAGACTGGTTGGCTTTGGAGGAGGAAGATGACAGGTTGGAGTTGAAACAGGTGGAAATGAGTTGCCCAGGACTAAGAACTCTGGGTGCCATGTCCAGCAGGCTGTTGATTGTTAATACAAAGCCTGATCATACCGGAGGCAGCAGGAAGAAGTCCTGGCTGTTTGTACAGTGTGTTGGAGTCATTGGCAGAGAAATGATGTTAGGGGATGTGTTCCCCCAGGAAGAGACTGAGCAAAACCATTCTGAGCCCAGAATTCTGAAAGGAGATTGAAGTGGCTGGGAAAGAAGGTCTCTGATAAAAATGGTGAGGAATAGCCAAGAAGAAATAGAATACAAGGGTATATTGTCACCTTATTAAGAAATGGCCTCAGGGCTCAGAATGATGGCCAGACACCACACTTAACCTGTTTCCTTTGTGGTCCCAGATCTCAGCAAAAGGTTGACAATGAAATTATGTAGATGTAAACTTCCAGGGTGGGGTAAAGGGAAGTGAGTTATTGACAGATTTTCATGTAGTTACATGAATCAGGAAAGCAGGTTGACAAGGCTTGAGAGGCAGGTCTGGGCTATAGTATCCAGAAATGTGGGGATGGATGGACAGCAGAAACAGATGAATATAAAGTAGATCGAGAAACAGATGGCCTCTTCTCACCCCCACGCACATTTCCCAGCTGAATACATTCAGACATTTCTGTCAATGAACAGATTCAGCGCTAGAGGAGAATCAGGGCAGCTGGTGCATTTGTGATGCTTGTGGCAAGGGTATCCAGGGGTCCCCTGTCCTACTAGTGGGCTCCTCACTTTCATAACTTAAAGCATTCACCTGACCCCCAGACTGAGCACAACTTGGCTCTTGTTTTGTAGAGTCTACAGACCTTTTAACAACTTGAAGTAATGTTCACCTAATGCTGGGTATTTCATGTGGAAATCTAGGTTTACACCTCCTCTGGGAAACGGAGCTCAATAGTGCTCCCCTTCCTGATCAGTGTTCTTCTCCACCTGCCTCAGCCTACAGCTTCACTTGTCTTTGTGATCCACCATGTGCTACTTTGCAAGCATCATCTCCAAAATCAGACCAGAAAACAAACTTCAGCCATAATTAATAGCTGGTGTTACCATGGCAATGACCAGTGTTGTGCAGGTTATACTTCATTATTCTCTTGCTGGGTGGCCACTCTGTAACAGCAGGTAAGGTAATAGGCTGCTTGGGGCTGGTATTTTTCCCTCTAGTTATGTAACTACTATCAGTGAAATATCCCTTGGGCTGCAGAAGTCTTTTTATTAGGAAACAAGGATGAACCTTTTGTTTTAAAGTCACCTGCAAAGGAAGAAGGATCAGTGTGGCATCATGATCTTTTTGAACAGCATTGAAGGGGCAATGGAAGCCAAAGGAGCAAGGTATCAGGGATGGCGAACACACCAGAAGCTTAGCTCCTGCGCTCCCTCCATTTCTCAGGTTGTTGGTGAAGCAGGAAGTCCCCAAAAGAAGTGAAGTATGGAATGAGAAGAGGTGGCAGGGTCTGGAGGCAGGAACAGTGACAGGAATGTAGCAGAGGAGTGCGTGAATACAGGTGTTTGAAGGCAGCCGTGGTGGTACAGTGAGACACCGTCCCAGAAAAAAAGGGAGCAAACAGATTCACCATCTATATAGTACTTCACACGGGGCTTTTATGGAAAATCCCAGTTTTCTAAGATTCATAAATCGAGTCATAAGGTTTGATTTTACTGAACTACCAACAATATTCCAATAGAAAGTACTGTATTAACATAAAGATACAAGTGAACTTATTAAAATGTATTTTAAGAAGACCATTATGTCTGTTTCAAAAAACCTTTCAAATGGAGTCTGATGCCTGTAAGTGGCACAAACAATAAACTGAAGGGCAGACCGTATGACCTTGACTCCAGTGATTCTTAGGGGGTTTAAATCTGTAATATCTGTTCACATACACCATGTGTCTGATCAACACACTGCGAATCAGCCCAGGAGAAGGAAAAAGCCAGGGCTCAGGCAGGTTAAACAGCTTGTTCAAAGCCTTGGGAACAGCACTTACAACCAGCAGGGCCAGGATACCAGTCCTGATCTTAGCTCTGTCTCTTAAAACTGTGCCCTTCCCTGGACATCAGGCCGCCATGGTCCACTTAATCCAACACATGTGTCATGAAAAGCTAAGAGGAAGTGACAGTTCTTCTGATATTTTAAGTGACCTATTTTAAACACTGACTTAACTCTCTTTACAGAGACGGGGTAGGTTCGCATGGGGAAGGAGATGGTGTTGGGCAGAAGGCAGAGGTGGGTGTTCCAGGTCTAGCAGCAGATGAGGCTGAGCAGGGAGTGGAGGAGACGAGGATGGAAGCCACTGGTGACCAGCAACTCAGAGGGAGGTGCGGGAGCACTTCAGTTAGCAACAGGGCTTCAATGTGGTTTGCTGGTTGTGAGCAGTGTACAATAGTAGAAGAAGATGTAAACAATGCTCTGTGTTATCTTTGGAACTTTTCTGGAAGGAAGGAAAAGGAGGACAGGAGGGGGTAAGGAAGGGACATAGGGAGAGAGTGAAGGAAGGTGGGAGAGATACAGAGGTGAAGGAAGAGAAGGAGGGAGGGAGGGAAGGGAAGAAAAGAAAGCTAGGCTCCCGCAGCTGCTGCTCACCTCTTCATAGGGATGCTCTCGGCTGGGTCTTTCTTTTGGAAAGGACAAATCTAGAAAGTCAACCAAGTAGTCATAGCCTCCAGGAAAAGGGTTGAAGTCCTCATCTGTCTCAATCATCTAAATAAATGGCAACATGGGATAAATGGAAGAATATCAATGAGGTGAAGGTCTTTAAGGCTATGAGACCCAAATGTTCCTAAAGGCCAGCAATGATTTGCAAGTTAATTTTGAACTTTCTCTCTCTCTCTCTCTCTCTCTCTCTCTCTCTGTCTCTCCTTTTCTCCCTCCCACACCCTTCTGAACAGTCCCTGGATTTTCAAGGAGGCACTGTGGTTAACACTGTCAAGTCTGTTCTCTGTTAGCCGTTTTGTAGGGCTTTAAGAATGCTCACTGAGACACAAATTGGAAAACACACAGGGGATTTCTTGTATTTTTATAAAACAGAAAGAAGGAGCAAATATTGAACTGCATACCCTGACCACCAGATTATAATTCTTGAATCCAGCCCAAGTGAAATATTCTTTTATCCAGGATGAGTGAAGGAAGATTTCATCTTCTACAGCAGCATTCAATGTGTTCAAATATGGCTCAAAATCCCAGGAGTCCTTGTAAATCTTAGTCCCTTCAGGAGGCTCTAGGATGCCCTTGCTTAAAGACAAGGGGGAGAGAACAATGAAAGAAAAATGCAATAAATAGTGAACCCAAAGGTTAGCACTTACATAGCAAAGGTCGATGGGTTGGCGGCTATGAGACACTGACATAACCCCAGGGGCCCCACGATGGCCTCAGCCAGAGGGGCTCCTGTACATGGTTGGATCATACATTTCTAAGTCAGATTTCACTTGAAAAAAAGAACATATCTGGGGAAAATCAACACTCTTCTGGACCTCTTTGATCCAAATAACTAATTATGGAAATGTTGAATGTAATTTGGTTGCATTAACTTTGTGTCTGCTAAAAGCAGCAACCATGACTGAGCATACAGCAGGTGCTCATAAGTATCTGATGAATATATGAAAGCCATTACATTGTCTTTGAGATGCATGTAGAATTTCGTGTCTGGCATAATTGGTACTCTGACTGCACTAATCCAGAGCTGACACACAGAGTAGTGGTTTATATCCCCAAATTGAGCTGGCCATGTGGAAAGCTGAGCTCACTCATGGTCCTGAAGCCCTGTGTATCTGAGTGAGGATGGAGCACTGCATGGGCATGGGACACAGACTCTTGAATTCTGGGCGCAGCATAGGCACAGCGTAGGGGTCTGGACACGGGAGACATAAGCAGGGAAGTAAGTAGGCACCTGTCTAGTAAAGATGTGGCAGCAAAGCAGAGTCCCTCTCCTCAAAAGAACACTTTCTGTCTGCTGTATGTCTAGAGTTACAGGGGTCCTGGTTTCTGTAAAAAATCCTTTACCAAATCCCAAGGCTTCTCATGACGACATGGATCTCAGCCCTTCTCCGGCTTCTTGGAGGTCTCAGCTCAAAGCCTCACTGATCTCTTCCTGTACAAAGCTTCAGCCTCCTAACTCCAACTGCCCCACGCTACCGCTTCTTCCCCAGTGCATTCTCCTCTGCAGAGCCCTAGTGGCTTTTCTAAAACACAGCCTAGTAACACTCCTTTGCGTTACAACTCTCTGTAGCTCCCCTTATGCCCAGAACCAGTTCCTTGCCTGGCTCAGGAGGCCTTTCCATCCCAGGCTCAGAATGACATTCCTGTCATAACCCTTTTTTCTGCTTTCACTCACCAACCCTGCACTTGGGCACAGGGCCAGCATTGTGATGGGAAGGACATTTTTTAGTTGTATTTCCGCCCTGATATAATACCTAGTGCATAGAAGAAGCTCAATAAATCATCTAAGCCAACAGCGTACATTCATTCACTTAGTCAAATGTTTACCAAATCTATGATGCTATTATGTCTCCATTCCCCAGTGCAAGCCACACCCTGTGACCAAGCTCCCTTCCTTGTTCTCTGGTCATTCTACCTGCAGCCTCCTTCTCATCTCTGGGACCTGACCAAGGGCAAGAGATTCTGGACTGAGCCTTCCTGTCCCCTTTACCCTCACAGGACAGGTAAATGCATAGTCTCTGTGTGTCCTTGCACTGTGTGCTGGTGCCATAACCCAACAAAAGTGATTCTGGTTTCCCATCATGCTTTGGTGTATCAGAAGGATGCAAATGCAGACTCTTGGGTTCAGTGTCAGATCCACTGACTGAGTCTCTGAGGGGAGCCTGAAGGTCTACCCTTGAGAAAGTTCTGCCCATTGTTCACAAACTGTGAGGATGATCGCTATAGGATAAATCTGGAGGGCAGGAAAGTGGGGTTTGGAGAATCTACAAATCTCTTGAAGGTTGACTCACAACTGAAATAATAAAAAAAATTTTCACCCTTAAACTGCAGGCATTGAGTAAGAAGCTTAGTAAATGAGGATTGACAAAATTTAAAATTACTTCAAAATTGGGACCTGTCACAAGACCAGAAGTAAGCCTTCTATTTTCTCATAATATTGTAAGTATTTATGCAGCATTTTTTATCTTCCATAAGTAGGTAAACCACACCTGTCCGTTGGGTCCTTCAGCAGCCTGCCTAGGTCAAGGGTGGCTCCAGGTCGAGGAGTCCATGTGATAATATCTGAGTTCTTCTTGATAAGATTGTTGAGCTGGTTTGGATCATTTTTGGTATTTGTTTCCTTAATATACCTGAGAAATAAGAGTAACCCCATGTAAGAAAGTTTATTCTCAGATGCATGTTCTGGTGACTATAATGGTAGAATTTTTTGTTTTCTTTATACTCCACATGCTATGAAGAATAAAGACCATACTTTATGCATTGATGTGGCTCAAAGATACAAACACGGGTTCCTGGCAGCATTTAAGTTATGTACTTAATGAGAAAAATTACCAAAGAAGTTGCACAGATCTTTTGTTTCTAAGTATGATTATATAGTGGGTGGAATCAATATGAGTTGTCTCTATTATAGTTGGCAATTGTACTCTTGTATTTAACATTAAACATTTTGCCTGAATAAATATTACCGGGAAACCATTATATAAAGGGCTTAGCATGAACATATTGCTTTTATTTCACAAGTGCATCATGAGACAGCTATTACTACTGTGTGCATGCTAAAAGAAAGAAACTAAGGCTTAGAGACCAGGTGCCTTGCCACAGGCCACCATAGCAGCAGGCAGTCCAGTCCCAGCTTGTCACCAGCTAGGGGCTCAACCTTCCCAAGAGGCCGCAGGTAGGGCCTCTGTCCCAACTGTGGAACTAAGTCAGAGAATTCTCTGCATTCAAAATCATTAAAAATCTACCTTTTATAGAAGAACATACATAATAATTCTGAGATCTAACTTTTAACTATGCTACTGATCAGAGGTAGGTACCACCTTTCTTAAAAAGGTGTCTACTTCAGTGTCAGACTGGCAGGTTAATGGGGTGGATTGGGACAGAAAAAGGGAGAACAGAGAAGATAGATTTGTCAGTATGATTTATCTGACATAGATAATCTAGACAGATATTTCTGTTAAAGGCAATTCTACTCCCTCAACCTACAGCTTAGTTTGCCAGACTCGGTATTTTTGATCAGATAGATAAAACACACAGCATGTGATCAAAAGATATGGTAAACATAGACATTTCAAAAAGTTTACTTCAGTCAGATATATTTGCTGCTAATCCTCTTCAAAATCCTTGCTCTTCAAACATAGTTATCCCATTATTCTTGTCACTTTTTGAAGAAGTTCTGGAAGAACTCTTTCCTGTCTTTGTGAGGTGTGATCAAAACTATAGTGAACACTGCTGCCAAGTGCCATCCTACAGAAAGACAGGCTCATAAAAACATCACAGTGTGTTACATCTACCTTACTCACCAGATCTGACACCACGCAACTTTTGGCTCTTCCCCGAAGTCAAACTGACCATGAAAGGTGAGTCAGAGCATTGAAGTTACCAGGATAGTGCAACTAAAGACACTCTTTTATAAAAGAGAACTTCTAGGCTGCTTCAGAAAGCAACAAGAGGATACAGCTCAATGGTGTAAGTGTCTCCTGGCATTCGTAAGGTCCTGAGTTTGATTCCCAGTTACCAAAACAAAAAAGAAGCAAGAATGGGAGGGTGTGTTTTGAGGGGATTGATAGTAATGTTTTTTACTAGAATAATTCTTTAACATTTAAACATTCACCATAGTTTTCTGACACACCTCAAACATAAATATTTGTATTTCTATAGCACTTGGTGACACACATTACTCATGTCCTTCAAATTAAATTTGCAGATACAAGTAAAGACACTGTCGTTGCACCCAAAGATGTTAGTGTCTTTACTCTTCCCACTCGTTATTGTCCTCTTGTTGTTGCGGCACTTAATTTAAAGTAATGTCACCACTTTTCTCATCTTCTTATTACTGTCATCCTCAGAATGGTCACTGCATGGTCACTCTGCCTCCAATTTCCCCCTCTGGAGTCATGTCACTCTCAGTTACTCTTTCTAAATCATATCGTGTAGTGGTCACAGAGGTCCACAACCTCTTGATTCTCTATTTCTCTAAAATAACAGCGATCAGTATCTCAGTGCATCCTGTGTATGTAGGCACCGAGGGCAACACTGTCAACTACTCACACATAGAAATCTGGCTTTTAATGACTTTCAAAGGAAGATTTTAAGTGTCCCATAGAGAAGTGCCCACCTCCTCCAATTCTCCTAGTCCTTGAAACTCAACCTTCTTAATCTTTCTTTCACCTGAATTCTCTTCGCACTCCCCCTGCCATTCATCTTCCTTCCTAGGTTATGGTGATGATTTTCAAACTGGTCTCCAGGATCAAGCAAATTTTTCCTTTCCTGCTGCACAGATGTATAACCTACCGTCCCCTGCGCATATTTAATTACGTCCTCACTGGAGTCCTTGATCTGGCTCCCTAACCCTTTGGGATAAAACCCAAAGCCCAGGGCATGATGGACACTGAGTTTCTTTCTGGTTCCCTAACCTTTCTTTTTGCTCTCCCTTGGGCTTAACTCTCCTCTCTTAGCTCAGCATCTTTTCATCTTTGCAGATTAATGCACTCAGTAAATGATATATGAATGAAGAAGGAACAGTAATAACTAAAAGCAATTTCTTTAATCTTAGGCCAATCTTCCTGAAAAAAATTGCAATATGTGAGACAAATAGTTAATATTAACCAGATGATTAAAGAAAAGAAATAAATTTGCAATAAGCAATTACACACATGTAACTACATAAGAGAATGTAGAATAAGTTCAACATGATAAGATGTTCTACTGATGAGAGCAGTGAAGTACAAAGACTTCAGATGATTAGCTCCAATAAATGGTGACAAGAACAGAACTAAGTTCTAGGTAGATTGCTTGTCCCACTGTATTGTTACACGTAGTTAACAGGAAGTCACATGCTGTCTTTATATGACCATTGTCATAAAAAACTTGTCTTACAACTTAACTGCTTTATTACCCAGTGTATTCAGATAAGTATAGAGAAATATGGTCCCTTAATTAGAGGACACGCACATTTCTTTCCTATACACAGTTCGTCTGAATGATAAAATGGGTCTCGGTGAAGCAGTTATAGTAACGAAACACATGCAAGATCTGTATACTGAAAAATACCAAATGCTAAAGAAAGAAATGGAACAATATACATGTTCATGAATTCAGATTCAATATAATCCAGTGTAATTCAGATTTTAACGATCCCCAAATGAATGGATCCATTGTGAAACTGGCATCAGAACTACAGCCCACCAAGGCAAAGTAATAAAGCTAGTCAAAACAATTCTATTAAAAATTGGAGGATGCAATCTATCCAGTTTTAAAATAAACTACAGAGCTATGTAAATCACAATTATGTGTTAGGACACCTGCATCAACAGAGGAGAGCAGAAAATCTAGAGGTAGAGCCACCCAAATATGGCCAAATGATTTTTGACAAAGATGTAATTTGGGGAAATTAAAATACAGTGTTTTTTATTATTTCTGTCTTCTGTGGACCGTTTTTGTAGTACTGGAGATTGTGCCCAGCCCTAATACATGGTAGGCAAGTATTCTACCACTGAGCTATACCCCTAGCCTTTCATTTTGTTTCGAGACCATATGTCACTGAATTTCCCAGGCTGCTCTCAAAATTGTGATCCTCCTGCCTCAGCCTATTTTGTAGCTGGGGTAACAAGTATGTGTCACTATGCCCAGATTATTTTTTGTATTTTTGTTAATTGCTATTCTGACCAGAGTAATAAAGTTTATATCCTGCAGAGAAGATTCAGGTTTTTGTTTTAGCAAGCAATTAACCAGGTTAGGTTCATGCCACCAGTACACATCCACCCTTGGTGGGCTGTAGTTCTAATGCCAGTTTCATAAGTTTTTGTCATCCCTTCCAGGCCTCTAGTAAGCAGTGTAGAGCCTGAGCAGCGATCTACCCTATACTTCCATTCTCCTAGCCTCTGATATCCTATTTAGGGTCATAACCAGACACACAGGAGCTCGGGACTAAGCCCCCAAATTTGTGGCTCATTTTAAGTGTTCTCCTGTCTGCAGTCTCTCAAATATATTCTGCCTCCCAGGTGTCTCCCTCTTCATCTTCTGCCAAAAACCCAGGTTTTGGTATCACAGTTCTGCAAAGCACTTTCTGAAAAGTGCACAGCCCTCTGGGCCCAACAGGTGAGAAGTTAGAGACAAATAGCGATTAGGGTTCTCTTTGCACTCTTGGAACAAAAATAATTTTGGTTAGAGAGAAGGGCTCCTTTCCCTTAGAATTCTAGGCACCTGCACAATTCTTGCAGGTGTTGTAGCCAGTGCTGTTAAAGTGCTGCCTGGGGACAGGGGCAGGAGAAAATGGAAAAACAAAAGCAAACCCTCCACTGTCACACCCAGGGCCTACTTTTTCTGATTCACAACACCTTCTCTTTTCAACCTGCATGTAGTCCCTGTTTCCAGCTGCTTTTGAGTGTACAATGAAGACACTGGATTTTTAAAAATGTTTCCATCATAGCTGGTTCCCTGGCACTTCAAATTCTCATGTCCTTCCCCCATCTGCTGTCCACCGTTTACTTTTCAGAGCTCTGAGATAGCTGCTCTACACATTCTGTCCGAAGTTTGTAGTTGACTTTAGTGAATGAAACTAGCTACGTTGCATTGTCTGCCTTTTTAGAAGCCAGAACTTGTGTTGCTTTTAGGGATGCACTAGAATACTCTTTGAGAAGGCAATGATACCAAAATCTGAAACATTTTCATAAATTATACAAGAAAATTAATTTTTAAAAAATCAGTGGAGTACTACCTAGCCATAAAGAAGGGTAAACATGAGACATTTATAGGTAAATGGATACGAATTGAAACCATACTCATAAGTGAAATAAATCAGACTCATATGTGCAACATTGTGTTATCTTCCTAATATAAAAACTAAAAAAACTAATATTTAAAAAACTAAAAAATAAATCTAATATATAAACTAAAAAAATAAACTAAAAGATTAAATAAAGACCAAAACGTAAATAGATACTGTGAAATGGAAAGAAATTTTTCAAAAAGAAAGAACTGGGCTGGGAAGGAAGGGAAAGGAAAAAGTACAAGTTAGTTATATTACTATTTTCTCTTATTTCATTGAACAGAGAAGTTGTGTTAGTATTGTTTGGAGAACTTTTTTTTTTTCCTTTTTTGTCTTTTTCCTTTTTATTGGTACCAAGGATCAAACTCACGACTGCCTGCTTGCAAGGCAGGTGCTTATGCCACTGAGCTAAATCCCCAGCTGGAGAACTTTTTATGCATATATATTGTACCTATATGCAATGAATTGATTGTTGTTATTGTCCTATTATTTTGTTATGAAATTTTGTTTTGTTTTTTCCATAAAATAAGAAATTAAAGAAATTATAGCTATCAGGAAAGATTGCTACCTAGCATGGTTTCATCTGGACTGACCAAGATTCAGCAAGAACTATGCAGCTTAGACTTTACATATGTATGTAAAGCTAAGGATTTTCTGAAGCTAAAAAAGTGCATATAAAGTGTTCTCATCATGAAAACAATAACAATAATAATAACAGTACTGCATATGTCAGCTAGATATAGTTATTCCTCAATGTATATAAAAATCTCAAAACATCATTACATGATAAATGCATTTAATTTGATCTGTAATTTTAATGTAAAATTTATTAATAAGCTAGTATATACTATGGTTTCTATCATCTTTGGACTCTCAGTCCAGATACAAAATTTTTATCAGAAATGCTTGATTTCTGGAATTCATAAAATTTATAGTTCAAAAAGTAGATAAACATGCTCACATTGTTCTAAACATACCCAAAAGTTTTTCAGTAACACAATCAATTCCCCATAATTTATCTTCATGTAATATTCAAATCCACATTCACAAAACTGGTTCATTTCTCTAGAAGAATTGGTTTGATCTTGAAGCACACTGTCTCAGTGTCAAAGCTCTATCCAAGTTTAGTAAGTTTACTGATTCTGTGTCAACTCATTAATATTAATACTGACTTCAAAGACTATTACATAAATCAATAAGCAACTTTAAATTATCAACACTAAGAGAACTTTCCTCAAATTTTAGTTCCAATTTTGAACTGAACTGTAACCCTGTCAATTTAAAATAAAATCTTTGGCACATTTTTAGAAAATACGCAAATTCATAATAAATGGTTTATGCTATGAAAAGTTTCCACTTTAACACAAATATTTGTTGTGTTCTGAATTATGTTCCTCAAAAAAGACATATTGGATTCTTAATCTCTAATATCTCAGAATGTGATGTTTACCTGGCGATCAGATCATTACAGAGATAATCAATTAACAACAGGGCTTATGGGACTGGCTTCGTCATCAGAAAGAGAGTTTGAACACAGAGATAGACACACAGCGAGAAGAGACAAAGGAAAGGGTGGTTGTGTTCAGGCCAAAGGTGTGTAAAGCAGCCAGAAGCTACGAGGCTAGGACTGATTCCTCCCTGGCAACGTTAGAGGGTTTGTGGCCCTGTACACACCTTGATTTCAGAGTTTGGGCCTCTAGATCTGTGAAACAATGTTAGGAAACCAGTACAATAGTTCTATAAAGAAGCCACGAATCCATTTTTCCTTTTATTGAAGCCCCAAATTAAGCTTTTTCATATGCACTGTGGTACTGATAAGAAGATGTAAACCAGGCTGCTAGACTTTTGTCTTTGATTACTCAGTATTTGGCAAGTATTTCTTTGGCTTCAAGAAAAATTGGAATTGGAGTTAACAGTTTATGACTTAACTATGGGATACTGGCACAGAGCCCAAGATCATCATATTCATCATCTTTTATTTCTTCCAACAGTTCACAAAATGATGATGATTCATAGCAGTTGAAGAATTTACATTGCTTTGAGAGAAAGCCTATCACATACTGAAAATGTATTTTAAAAAATAACTTCATGATAGCATTCTGTTCTGGGTTGCAGTACAATCAAGAAAAAGCTTTTCCTGAGGCCTGGATTATCAAATCCAGTCTTCCCATAGATACCCACATGCAGGAAATGTGAGCTATTGCTTTCCTCATAGCTTCGTTGGGGGATTATTTTAGATGACTTTTAAACTCCAGTTCACTTCCTGGCCTGCATTTGTGAGTGTCAGTTGGCTTCCTCTTTTCTGGGGACTTTTGAGTTCTATTCAGATGAACTCTGATGGTTCAGTCACACTCTTTGTTCTCTGGCTACACTCCTCCCACTTCACACTGTGCTCCTGACAGTCACTCACTGTGGCATACATTAACTCCTGCCTAAAAATATTGTACAAAACATTTAATCATACTTGTCTGATGGGTGGGACTCCACAAAATACCCAGCAAAAGGACAATAAATTCGGGGTTGCAGATCCTTCACCAGCTGAGCCTTGTAATTCAGGAGCTTCTTTCTTTCTGTTTTAATGAATTGAGCTTTCCATTCCTCTGAAACGACAGGATTTGGGTTAGTGTCTCCTCTATTCAGAAATCACAGAAAAGCAAAAGCTTTAGTTGACTGGAATTTGTTCAGGAGATCAAATTTGAGACAAAGAGGGCAGAAATAGAGTAACGCTTTGTGTCGTTAATGAAAGGATTTTGCCCCAGATGGGACACTAGCTGGTGGGAGGTTTGGAGGTGGAACCAAGGGGCTCTATCTTGAGGTCACCTTTCCCGGCCCTAGGCAATTTACCTGTGGTGCAAAATGAATACCAATGGGCTACCTGTGCATCACTAATGCCCCTTAGGCACCACCCCAAACCTAAGCTACATGTATACCCCCCACACCAGTGTCTGGCGGAGAGAATGCCAGACCCTGGAGGGTCATGGAGTCTCTCTCCACATTCTTAAAATAAAGGCCCAAAGATAGAGAGTTTTTGCAAACTTGTCATCAGTGTGATAAGCTATAAAGAGGTATGTTTTGGGGGGGGGGACAGGAAGTGGTTTCCAAGATAAAATCTGGTGTGGGGCCTGGCCCACAGAGTCACAGTCAGTTGAGGCAAAGGACTGTGGTGTAACCAGGTCAAGTCATCACCTTTTAACCTCTTAGACCAGACGGTAATTGGTTCCAAAGCTCGTGTTTCTCGGTGGTCACCAGAGGCACAAGTGGAGTTCCTGTTGTCTGTCCGTGAGAACTTAAAGGCTCTAAAGAAAGCCTCTAAGGGACATGAGAGCTTAAAAGTTCTGCCTCAGGGCTGTCTGCCGGTGAGAGCATCACCTTAACCTTCTAGACCAAATGGTGATTGGTAAAGGCTCTGTGTTGGGCTCTAAGGGAGTGAGAGCTTACTGGATTTACTCTGCAAATTTTAATCAGTTACTAAGAAAATGTTAGCAGATGTAGCCCAAGGTACTGAGCTCTCTCCTTGTTTATGATAATTTGCTTTCGACCCTAGCAGAATACACAAGCTATGCATGGCTGTATCCCATGTGCAAGTATATATTAAGGTCATGGTAATTCTTATAATTATTTTATTAATCCATTAGTGACTATAATCTTATACTATAATCTTAGTGTATATAGAATGAAAATTACTGATCAGCACCTGACAGTGGAGGGTCATCAGGAACATGGACTTGTAGATTAGTCAGACTTAGAATTAGAGTCTGGGCCCACCATTACTTGTTGTGCGGCACTGGGAAACTACCAAAGTTGTCTCCAGCTGCTTTCTCATCTATAACATGATGCCTGCTGCCTGAAGTTGTCATTCACCTGTTCGTTCTTTCAACTGTGCACCTCCTATGATATGTACTGTGCACCTCGTATGTGCCAGACATGGTTGCTTGCAGGCACTAAGAATACAGTCATGAAGCAGGTCCCTGATCTCACAAAGCATATGCTGTAGCAAGAGAAGCAAAGGAAATGGAGTTATTGCAAAGAGTGATGTGTGGAGAGCATGAGAAAGGGCAACAGTGCAGTTATCTGGGTGAGATGGACTGGAATAGAGGAATATTCCTAGACAAGGCAGTCAGGGAGTGCAGGGCGTAGTGTTGAGATACAGCTGAAAAGTTGCCAGCTCTTAAGAGTTTAGGGCAAGAGGAATCCAGGCAGAGATGCAGCAAGTGCAAAGGCCCAGAACAAAAGCACAAGGCTCAGTGAATATGAGGAAGAAAGAGCAGGCCATTGTAAGTGGAAAGAGCCCAGCCTGGAAGCCTGGTAGAAAAGGAAGTCAGGGGATGAGGCAGGACCAGGATACACAGAGCCCGAAGTCAGGGAGCTGCTAGTACTATAATTATTCCTGTAGCAGTCTGACAAACACAGATAAGGACACAGAAAAATAAATGGTACTCATAACCAAAACACAACTACATTTTTAAATATTCCAGACCCTTTTAATATATATGGGTGCATACACATAACATGCTCACACACATAAGCACACACATGAACACATACAGGATGGAATTCTGCTAGTTAACCTTGAGTAAGTATATTTTGCCTCCCAACTCACACAGTAACTTCTTCCAGACAGTATTATCCCTCTGTCTGGATGGTGACATTTTGTAGAAGGCAGTGAATGTACAGTTACAGAAGAAAGCAAGGGGCTAGGTAGGCAGAAGTGACCTCACTCTGCAAGTGGGGCATGTCTGCCATATGTTAGACAAGGGTCACTTATGAATCACTGTGGTTTACTAAGTGGAAAGAGTGAGCACTTACCGTGCTCCTGTGGGGATGCCAAGTGAATGTAAAGCACCACTTACACATTTTCTTCATGCCAGCTACAACACCATGCTCGGACCCCAAGTAGAAGGGCTCCTGCCTGGGCCCCACTTTTCAGGTTGTGCCACTGCTGAGGACCAGTTTGACATGGTGCAGAGCAGACAATAATTGATATTAATATACTGGCACAAGAATAAACGGGGAGTGTGTCCTAGGCCTACATGACTAGTGGCGAGACTCTAAGGCTGATTTACAAATAGATTAATCTTTAAGCCAAGGTCCAGAAATGAGACTAGCAGACATTCCACGATGTACTGGCACCTCAAAGCAACATAAGGCAGTGGAAGACTTTGGCTTATCCAAATTTCTTCTGGTTCCATAGTCACATAGTAACTGACAATCAGGTTACTAGTTAACCAACATCTGCTCCTGTGTGCTTTTCCAAAATGCATTGTTCCTTAATCCTTGAACCTTGACTGCCGTCAGCAAGTCACCCCCCATTGTCTCCTGCTGCCCACTAACACTCCTCCCAATCAAGCTGGGCAACTAATAGAGGCCAAAGACATCTCTTAATCCTTATTGGGCTTTGACCATCCAGGTGCCCCTTGTAACTTAAGTATATCCCTTGTCTGTAATTTATTCTGTCATCATACTCCTGAGCAAGAGACTGGTGGTCCTAGGCCAGGACCAGCACATGCCACTACCTTGCTAAGCATCCTTCAGGACTCACAAGATACATCCTTATTGAGTTGCACACAATCCATGCCGGACCACATTCCAAGTGTATTTGAGTCTGGATTACCATGACCCTCTTTCCTGATCTGCCATGAACCCACGTGATCCTTTCCCTGGGCTCTGCCAGAAGCACTCTCTGATCTCAGTGCTTTCTTCTGTTCTACCACCACATTTTGAGCTGGAAACTTTAATTTGCAAAAGCTATAGTTTAAAAGTCTGCTTTCCCTATAAGACTGTAAGTTTCTCATGGGGATGAACCATGTGTCAATTAAATTTGTATTTGTTTTCTCACGGGTGAGCAAACTGCCATGACTGGTTTAGGCATCATTTCAATATAATATATTACCAGTGAATTTTCCACCGCTGAAAGTCATTGGAAAACCAGATGCTCCCCCGGCAAAATCACTCATCATGAGAGCAACTTTTGCAGGCAGCCTGCCCCCATTGGGCCTGGTGCAGTCCACTGTATTGAGTATTTTATGACCTATAAAGAAACAAAGTAGTGTGGATATTCAAAGTGAAATCTCAACCACTATAGTCTGAATTCCCAATCCAACAAAGTCTTCTATGTAAAAATCTCTATAATCTCACTCATCTGATATAGAAGAAATATATAACCAAGTAAAAACAAAGAAAGTAACACCTTAAAATTTAAAGTCTAATTTTAAAATAAATTTATCCCACTTGACTGAGTGGATTCTCGGTGTCTCATGAAGATAATTAGCTTGCTTGCATTTGAGATCATATATAGACTGTGTTCTTTGTCTAACTGTCTCTAGACTTTGAACCTAAAGGGCCCAAGGGAGAGTGACTAGATCAATACGAACCTTTCTACCTTTTGTACATTTTATGCAAAGTTCATATTCAAATGATTATTGGAATTGTAAGGCTATATTCTCATATGAAAGGCCAAAGTGTTCAATTAGATTTTCTAATGATATTTCAAGATAAAAATAACTGGAGACATTAATTCAATAAATGGAGTTTTGAAGAATTTACCATAAGAAGTAGAAAATAACTATTGCCTGATGAACAAAAAAGCTTCATACCTGGCATTACATGCACAACACAAATGGTAATTTATTGTTTGGAAAGATTACCTGATTGTTCATTTTTTAAAGACAAGGTAATAATATTCTATATTATCGAATTTCAGATCACTAGTGTTGTCTTTTGTACCCAGAATGTTTTTGGCTCCCTTCTGTGGAGGATGAGAAAGTACCTTTATACTCCACAATAATGCACGTGTCCATCTCAGGATGAACGCCATCCATCAAGATCATGAAACGAAGATTTTTGTCTACCTGGAATTCAGTAAGAAAAGCAACAGTTGTGTATGCACTTTGGTTCAATATTAAGAAGGTTGTCACTTCTGGAAAGACCTGAGATTTGAAAAATAAATCTTCTTTTCTAATTGGTTTAGAGGGTTATTCTATTGGACAATGGGAAGAAACCCATGTTTTTACAAGGACAGTTATGTCCATCATTTGAAGCTTAAGTAAAGGTTACATATACTCAGTACATGTACAGGCATCAGTCACTTTCCCCCTTAATCATATGGTGATTTTCCCACCTACAATTCGATTCCCAAAACGTAACTGGAAAGTACGAAAAGAAAACAGATCTCTAACCTGCTGCCAAATTCCAAATGGAACTACGTTGATGTTAGTTAGCGGGACACCACTCTGATTCAAATTCCAAAACACAGGTCTTTCTGTGTCACCAACATAAATAGGAATATCTTGTCTTCGCTCTGAAAGCTTCTTTAGTGTAGGATAGCTAGGATTAAAAGAATGGAAAATTTGAAAGACGAAAAACTAGTATTATGAGGCAATTTAACTGAAAAGCAAGGAAATTTAGAAAATGTGATTTGCATCAGAGTTTCTGCTCAAGATTGAGTGCAGTGGTGAGTGGTACTTCCTAGGAGAGTCCTCTATCTCTGGAACCTGGCTCAGACCATGTGGGGTATTTCTAGTACAGTGAAATAAAGAGTGAGAAAAGCCAAACTGCAGAAACTGGTGGTAAATGGAGATCCACATGACCCTCATATCTTCACTTTCCCAAAGCACTATCTCCTGATAAGAAAGAGTACTGGGCTGCAAGAGGTCACTTTATCTGGGGAGTCTGTTTTGCAACCTTTAAAGACTGATACCTCAGGGGCTGGGGATTTAGCTCAGTGGCATATAGTGCCTGCCTGGCAAGCATGAGGTCGTGAGTTCAATCCCCAGTACCACACACAAAAAAAAAGACTGATGCCCCATTTTGATATTCAGAATGTATTTTTTTTATGCTTAAAGAGAATCCAAGTTACCATTTAGACAAGGAGATTTTTAGCTATAGAACCACAATACCTTAGTGGGTTGTGATCAATCAAGTGCATTTCAGATAATGTATTTCTAAATAAGTAAGTTAAGTAAATTTTTCAGTTACTCTCTTTGAAAAGTAATAAAGTAGCAAGTGGGGCATGCCTGTAATCCCAGTCCTTGGGAGGCTGATGTAGAGGATCACTGCAAGTTCGAGGCCAGCCTGGGCTACATAGTGAACTCAAGGCCAGCCTGAAATACATATTGAGATTCTGTCACAATAAAAAGGAGAAGGAGGAAGAGGAAGAGGAGGAAGTGGTGGCAGAAGATATTCATGTCTTGCAATTCCCAGAATAGAAAATCAAGGTATGAGTCAATGAACAATATATGCAATGAACAATATATCCTTAACCAAGAACATTACTGTGTCAAGGTGTCCTACATGTGAACTTGGTGCTATAAGGTCACAGAAAAAAAATAACATGAAGTTGCAACACTGTAGATAATGCTATGTATTTATATAGGTAACACAGAAAAAGTGATAAAAGATTCCAAACAATAATAAAAAAAATGACCCTGAAATTAAGCAAAAGAATTGGGAATACAATCTCCTTTCTCATAATTCAGTTTATTTTCCCAAACTGTGCAGTTTCTTAAGTGACAAGTTTCCTCTCATCCTTTCAACTATGTGGGCTGGGAAATTTCAGTTAATGCACCTTGTGGTTTCCATGCAGGACTAAATGCGGTTGAGTCGTGAGTTAGTAAGTTGGGAACACAGCTATAAATCAAGTTTTGGCAAGCCAGCGTGTCAGGCAGACCTCACCTGCTGCTTCCTGTGTGTAACCTTACACAATGAGGCTATTTTTCATCTTTGTGAACAATTGAAAAGAAAATACTTTTCATGACACATGATAATGATATTGAAATACCATTAACCATAAACAGAATACTATTGGAACAATCAATGTGATTCTTATTTAGGGCTGCCTAAGCTGATTTTGTGCTACAATGGTAGAATGAGTTAACTGTAACACATTACGTGGGTTGCAAAGACTAATATGGCTTTCTTTTTTGGGGGGGGTACTGGGGATTGAACTCATGACCTTGCACACACTGGCTTTTCATACAATAATGTGTGCTGATTCTGCTAAAAATGCTGAACTGAAAAATAAAAGGTCAACACTAATTACACGGCCACTTAAACTTGCACCAAACAGGTAAGAGAGGGAAATAAGAGAGTTCTTAACTCCAACTTCTTTCCCGCAAGAGCTCCTTCCTCATTCCCAATGTTATTTCAATTTGCAAATTTATTTTTCGTCTTTCTATCATTCCAACTGAATCTTGTTCAAAGTGGCTGATGATTGCAGAACTTGACAGTACTTTTGTGCAGCAGCATCTTAGGAGTTGCAGAGCCCGTTACCTTAGGTGGTCTGAATGCATGTGGCTGATGTAAATTAGGTCTGCTTTGCACAGCCTCTCCAGCCAATCAGATGGAGGCTCGTGGAGCAGCCACCATCCTCGAGCAAATGCGGGACCTATCAACCAAGGATCAAACACCATTCTCTTGTCTCCCAATTTGAGGTCCATGCAGGCATGAGTGAGGTATGTTACCTGTTAGAAAAGAGTGAGAGTCCTATTACTTAGTCATTGCTGGTCAGCAGAAATGAACTGAAAAGTCTGGCCTGTTTCACTGACAAATCAGGCTGGAGAACTTTGTTGCTAAATAAGGTGGCCAGCATGAAAATCCTGGACTCAACTACACCGCAATAGGGGATTTGAATAGGACACAATTCCCTGCAGAGTCTGACTTTGCCAGATCAAACGTTCTCACCGTGGATTTTACGTATCAAACCATTTGATTTATCTTATTTCCCTCTATTTCAACTCACTCCTAAGCATTTATTTATGGTTATCACTGCAGGGTATCTTTTGGAACCAGTCCTTCAAAGCACAGTGAGATGTTATGATAAGCACTTAGGGACTTAGATGCCAGAGAGGCTATGAATGGGAATATGATTGAGTGATTCCCAGTGAGCTGGGTGGGTGGGACAGCCACATAGATTTGACTCACAACAGCTAACAGACATGCTGTGGCTTCCTCTGATTTACCCCTTTATATGGCAAGTTTGCCTGAGACATACTACAAAGGATGATTTATAGATATGCATAGACAGGAAATTCCAAACCTATTCCTGTGCCCCGGCTTCCGACGCTGTGGAGTCCGTAAAGAAGGAACATGGTCAGCAGCAGAGATACTTAGGAGGACCTCCCGTGTGAAAAGCCAACAGAACAGGAAAGGAGAGGTCAAAGAATCCAAGTAGCCTATATTGTGCTTGTTTGGGGTAGGTTCCCATTTGTTTTCTCAAAATATAGCTGCCCCCAAAATACAAGATTCCCATTACACAGAAACAATAGATTTGTGATTGGCTCTCTCAAGTATATGGGCTCAAAGAAACTCTCTTCTAAAGTTGTAAAAATGAATAAGAAGACTCATAAAGGTCTCAGGACACAGTGCAGGAATAGACAACTACTCATTTGCTGTGGTTTGTCCCCCAAAGGTTCCTGTGTTGGGAACTCGGTCCTCAGCGGGCGGCAATGAGGTAGGACAGAAGAAATAAAACTATGTAGAGGAGACCAAGAAATCAAGGATTTAAAATTCTACTTTGGGAAAAAACTACAGCTTCAAGTCAAAGGCTTTTCTTGCTTCTGGAGGCCACCCCAGCATGTGACCCCCTCCCTCCTTCCTTATAGAGACTAGTGTTAAATTTCTAAATTTATAATAATAATTTTTCACAATTTAGAATAATCTGTAAATTCCGAGGCATTTGATCCTTTTCAAACCCTTCCTCCAGCCCAGAAAGCAGCTGCACTGGAGATAGCATGCCTTAACCTCAAACACCTATCTCTTCTTCAACCCATATAGATGGCTTGCCCTATAACCTGGCAAACAGTAAGAATGCATATCCAAGATCATCCACTCGGAAACAGCCTTTATTTGTGACCTTCTCTGGCTTGTAATGTGCCTCATTTCCTTGAGCACCCACACTCCACTCCTGAGTGTGTCCTGTTTCCATCTCTTATTCAATTTTTCTCGTGCTTCTTTTATCAGTGTGTCCTGAAAATTCTTTTTCTGCAACTGGAGTCAGTGAACCTACATAGTAGTTTAAAAGGGTGGGTTATTTCAGCTTTGGGCTCTCAGCCCCAGTCTGTGACAGTAGGATCTTTAAAAGTGGCACCTAGAGGAAGGTAATTGGGTCACTAGCGATCACTTCCAGAGGGGTTAATGTAGTTCTTGCAGGATCAGTCTAGTTTCCTTGAAAATGGGTTGTTACAAGATAACCTGGCACTTCCTCCATACCCTGCTTCTACCAGTTTCATACACGCTCGTGTCATCATGATACACCCACTATGAAGCCTTCACCAAAGCTAAACAGATGCTACTACCATGCCCCTGAGCTTCCAGAGCTGTATGCTAAATAAACTTCTTTCTACTATAAAGTATTCAGCTTCTAGTATTTTGTTACAGTAACAGGAAATATACTGATACACTACTCTGACAGTGATCTAGCATCAAGGTTAATTTCCGAGCTTTCTCCAGTAGCTTCACAGGATTCTTCTTTAGGACTACCACTAAAGCCTTTCTTTCCTAGATGGACAATAGATTATAGATCCTACATATAATATACACACATATATTCTTCCATATATTATATATATATATATATATATATATATATATATATACAATCCTTCATGCTTTATGCTCAAAGAACATTGTAACATTAATAAGAACGTTATAATAAAAACATTATCATTTTAATATTTCCTTACCTGTACTTCCCCAAAAGCCAAATCTTCAGGAGACCTGGGATCTGAATCCCAGGGATTTGGGGGATTCAATTCTAGAAGTAAAAGTCCATTGTTTTCATCCATTTCAACAACTAGAACCAAAGGAAAATAAATCTGGGTTAGTAACAAAAATGACTTTAAAAAACTATTCCTAAAAAAAGAAATGCATGGTCCAAGTACACAGTGCCACAAATCAAAGGAAAATCAAAAGCAAAGGCAGCACTCACTGGGGTATCCTCCCAGACAACAGGCGAAGATAGGCACTATTTCATTTCTTGACTCATATTACCAGTAAGGAAGTTAAGAGACCTTGGTTACATTAGGACACACAACAAAATCGTGTATTATGACACACACTCATACACACACACACGCACAACTAAATGAACAACAGAGATGTTCAAAGTGCTATGAGTGTGCACAAGGAGAAACACTTACTGTGCTTATAACAATCAAGCAAATTTCAAATAGGAAATAATCCTTCAGCCAGACTTAAAGATGAGGTGTTTGAGGTGACAAAAGAAATTCAGTGGGTTTAAGAGGAGAGAGACAGGAAAACAGTGTATGTAAAAGCACCAAGGCACAAGGAGAGTTTGTTAATCAAAGAAAGCTTGGTCAGTGATGACCTAGGAAAATGGTGCTGGATCAGGCAAGATAACCAGAATGGTCAGTGTATGTGCTCATGTACCGCAGATAACATGCTAAGTTATTTGGATTTTATCTTATAACACTGAGGGCTCAGTGAAGCAACTGTGGCAGGCCCTGTTGGTAGTCTCCACGAAATCCATTGATGTTTTTATTACAGCATTCTGATTTTATTAAAAACAGTGCTATGTCTGTCTATGACAAACCTATCAGGATTTCCTAGGCACTTTTGCAGTTATGAGTAGCCATAGAAATGGCACACAGAACATATGCATAGTTCTTCCAGTCTGCTGTGAACAGCAGCAGGGTGGTTTTTTGCTCCCTTCATCCCTCCTTTGTGTAACTGCCCCCTCTCCCATGGCTGTAAGCACAGTATCCATCTCAAGACCCCCAGGAACAGGACCACAGACCAAGGGTAACAAAGCAGAAGGATGGAAGGGATCCAGCTCCATGGAAAACACTAGAACAGCTGCACTGCCCTGGAAAGTCTGCTTTCCAGTCTCCCATGAGGTGAGGACCCCACTCTACATGATCAGCCACTCTCACTGGGTTTTCTGCTACATAAGCCCAAAGAAACTCATTGCTTCAACAAGAGAGGGGTAAGGTCAGAGCTTAGATTTAACCCAATGTGAGCAATGGGGGTCAATGGGAAGGAGGCCAGACCCTGTTCTGACTGCAACATCAACATTGTATGTGAGGGGATCTAGCAGGGCAGCCCTCATGGGCAGGGACCTCATATGGCCGTGCTTGAAGTGTCACTTTCCCGCTGACTCACACACATTCTTGCTTTTCCATTCTCCAGTGTTATCATGAACTTTTGCTACTACTAAGGAGAGATAACCTTAATTACTGCAATAACTGAATTATTGCTAAATGATACCTGGACAGTCCCTGCCTTGCACCCACTACTTCAAAGTACACATGACAGGTCACTTGAAAATTCCAAGAGAGATTCTTGAGGGTGTGGTTCCCAGGTTAAAGAAAATAGATATATAAGACATCATCAACAACAGCAGGCAGTATGCAGCAGGGCACAGGACAGGAGCATGAGAGCTACCTGCATTTTCATTGATAATTTTTAGAAAGTTTCTCTCATATTTATAACCTTACACACTGTGATAACCAACACATGCCTGTTTACCCATGCTAAGTCATAGCTGTCTCTCACTTTGTGCCAGCACTAGACAGGCAGGGTCACATCTTTGAACATTATATGTTATAGTAAAAACAAGGGAAGTGAAAGCACCCTGTTGGGTTTTGGTCACAGCTGTGGAAGGGACCTGAAGGCCAGTATTCATGTACTTGGATGCCCCTGACTTTTGAAGCAGTCTGAGTGGTTCCCCACATCTCATCTCCTCAAACATCAGGGACATATTAATGTAACATTCTGTATGTAACAAAGCACAAGTACCTGTAATTAACAAATCAAGAAACATGTAGTCTTGCAAAAGCCATCTTTCTCATTGGAGAAATTTTATCCATGAGCAACATCAAAGGCCAACAGTAACATTCAAGACCTCGACCAAATGTTGAGCAAGGGCTTCAGTCTGGAGGGATACGTTTATGGTCCTTTCCCCTGGTCAGATGTTATTCCTAGCAGCATCCTGTATGCAGCAGTGAACATTTTTGGTCAGGTGCTGTTCCTAGCAGTCAGCCACTGAAACGCCTATCAATGAATCAATCCTAGACTAAGGCAAGGCTTACGTTCTAAACCATGATAGCCTACATGGTCAGGTTTTGGGTCATGCTCACATATGTCTCACCACAGATCAGCAAACTATGAGGGACAATGCCCTGTCACTCTGCCCAAGATGGTAGCCTAAATGTTAGCTCCTAAAAATGGCCCAACGGTCATACACACATGTAAGGTGTCTCCTTCTTGCGTCATAAGCAATCACATTGTGGACTGGGTCATGCCTAGACCCTTCAGTAAATCTGCTGTCAGCCAGAGGTTCCTCTTTCCCTTTTTTTTATAGAGATTATGTGTCATGTCCTGTAGTCCATCCTGCCAGATGGGTTTCTGGGCTATGTACATTATGGGTCCCAAAACCATTGCCCGTTCAATGCCGGTGGGTTAGCTGTAAAGAAGGAGGTACATCTCCTCAATGTATGAGAGTGGGATCCTGTGCCACCCCACACCTGGGATGGGCTGTTTATGTCCATACCCAACCCTCTACTGGGTGTTTTATATGCACTTTTATTATCTGTTGCCTCATGTTTCTTTACAGGCATGCAGAGCAGTGTACCATGCTGAATACCAACTTTCACATCCCATCCACACTTGTGACCAAAACCCAACAGTCTGCTTCCACTTCCCCTGTTTTTGCCATAGGCCCCACCAAACCCATCATCATGCACACTGACTGGATAAATGGCAGGGTAGGGTCAGTGTCTCATACAGCTTGTACCTGTACAACAAGCCCGTTAGAGTCCTGAAAAGCAGCTTCCACTGTGTCTGTGCAGCCCTTGCTGTGCCCCTTTTGGTCATCTGGTATAAAGGGCACTGCAGGGTAGCTATGTGCAGTACATCTCCCCAAAACCTAGCAAGCCCACCTACCCCTGTAATTGGCATACTGTCATGGGTCCCATGTTACCTGATCATATAATACCCAAGAATTTGACAGTCCCCTGGACCTTGTCTTTGTCCATGGCCCACTCCCAAGCCAGCAAAGCTTTCTTTAGACTGGGCAGGGTAGCTTTCAAATCTGCAATCAGAGGTTGATACAATATCAATACAATGAAACAGTAACACAGAGTGTAGCTTGGTCTGAGTGCCACTAGGCCATGACACAAAGCTGGACTAGGCATATAGCCTTGTAGCAGCATCTGGAAGGTCCATTGCCTCTCTTTCCAGATGGAGGCAAATTGGTCCTTTGTGGAAGTGTCATTCACCACAATCCATCTGTCTGACTTCCTTCTGCACCAGTCATACTGAAGGGCTCTGTGCAAGGTGTATTATCCCTGCTTTTTCCAATTTCAAGACAGTCTGTCCCATTGCTTCAGGCCTCCAGGCAGCAAGTACTGCTTATTTACAACTGGAATTGTCCTTGCATGGTGTGAAGCTGAGCACAGGTCAGTATGTCTACCCTCAGTATGTATTCAGCAGGGGAAACAAATATCACACAGGGGCAGGGACAAATGCCTGATACCTGAAATCACTTGGCCTTCTGGACCGGTGATGTAGTGACTTCCAAACCCATCTATGTATGTAGGTCCTGTAGAACGGTCTGAGTTGCTGTATATTAGCATTGACTCAGTTCTGGGATCCATAATACCAGTACATGCCACGTAGTTATTACGGACCAGTAAACAGTCAGTTTCCCATGTGGCCTCTGATCTCCGGGGACCCTCAACACCTGGTACCATGGCCTGCCTCCTAACTCGGGTAAAAGGAGGCCAGTTTCATTTCTTCCTGCTTCAGTGAGTTTGCTCTGGCCTTGTGGCCCTGGTCCATCAGCCATTATTGCTACTCAGGGCATAAGTACCTCCACAGGGTCAGCACATTCAAGGGTTGCCAATCTAACTTTTCTGTGACCAGGCTGGCAGCCAGCAGGTCCATCCAGATCGGGCACCAACTGACCTTCAATGGCCCACAGCCTGCCCTTGGGGATGGGCCTGCTTGCCTAGAGCTCCCTTCTTTTTCTCCTTTGCTGGTATAGTTTTTAGAGGTTTCATCTTACTGTGGCATTTCACTTCCACGTCTCTCGGTCTGGCCAAGGCATCCATAACTTTGTGGATTGGGTGATCTTTAAAGGAGCCTAGAAAGGTTGCCCCTGATCTGAACATGCCAGGTGGCCTACTCACCAGGACCTTGTCCTTACGTGTGCTGTGAGTGAATCCTCATCTGGGCTATTGTATTGCAGCAGGACCATCATTTGCCATATGCCCATTTCATGTAGCAATTACGAAGTCAAGAGAAGTTGTCCCCATACTTAGTGACTTGCTCTAGCAAGTCACCTGGATTCTTCCAAACCAAGTGAGCCACTGTTATCAACCAATTTATCACAGTTTGATTACCTGCTTCTGGGGCTGTCCTCTGCACATTATGTAGAACCTGTTGCACAGATAGGGTACTGGCTATGCTGGCTACTTAGGGCATCTCCTGTGGGCTTAACTGCATGTTATCAGCCCCATCATCCCACAGCCATAGAAGCCACATAGGCACTGTATCATCCACCTTCTGTTTTAATTGCTTTGCCCGTTCCCACAACTCCATGGCTATTTAGGTCGGGTACACTGTGTGCTAGGTAGAGGTAGGTGGCCCTCCATGTTCTCCACCCTGGGCTAGGGGTTCCTCTCCCTCCACCTTTCCATGAATAGTTGGCCCAGCTTGCAAAAGCACAGGACTTTCCCAGGGGTTTTCTTGGACTGAGGACTTATGCTTCTGGAAACATTTCTGAAGGAGGCGGTGTTTCCACACCTGGCAACACGAGCTCTGCAGCAGCCA